TACTTTCTACTTCTCGAAATTACACGAAAGCAATACGAGGGTGGAATTCCAGTTACAGCTAATATAGTGGTCAATTGCATTTATTTAATTTCAGTACAAATTACCGAGATACCCATTTACTGAATTTTAAACGCACGTGCCCCTGTCTTCTTATTCTTCCGGCATAGCTTTCTCTTTAAATTTGTCTAGCTTTACATTACACAGAAAAATACATCAATTTTAATTATAATTCTATTAAAATTACCAATCTAAATACAAAATTCGTAACACTGAGAAACATCTTTTATTAGTTATAATACAGCAGGTGTTGATAAAAATTATCAGTTGAATATTTTATAAATTAAATCCCTTTTAATTTATAGCAGTCATAAGATGAGTTTAATACTAAGAAAAATGTTTATTGCTTTTAAATTTAATTGGTTAATCTGTTAAGTGAGAGTTCTAAAACTGGCGGCTCTCCAATCAATTGTACGTTTTCCGTAAATTAATTACCATCTTTTATAGCATCAATTATTATGATAAGAACTTGTACAAAGGTTTAAGATATTAATATTTTTTAGTATAATTTTAAATCATTTCATTTCTATCAAAAACGACTCTAAGAAACGCCTCAGGAAATACGCAAAGGGAAATACATAAATGGATCTATTTCATTTACACTTTGATATATTTCTTATTCAAAGATTTGGAAATACAAATTTGATTAATCTTTTTTCGTACGTTTTAAAAGATAAACACCCTCGGTTACGAAATTTTTCAATAGGAATAATCATTTTATTTAAGAATACATTAACAAGTGAATAGCTGTTTTCCGAAGCTGAAATTGAATACGTCTAAAATAAGAAACATTCTGCTCATCGGTCAGAACCACAGTAACCGAAGAACATCTGCACCGTGTGAGAAGTTTGTATGAAGATAGTTTTAAATACGTCTTCCATGATTGAAAAACTTTATCAAAATGCAATGCCTTCTAATTTCTTTACCTTTATTTGTGTTTAAAGGGTGTATATATATATATATTTCTATCTATCTATCTTTTTATATGTACATATATATGTGGAATGTTAAAACTTGAAAAGTTTTCGCGATTTATTTATGTTTCATTTTATGTATGTAGTGGTTAATATAACATAGTAGAATTACTTGAAATAAATGTCAGTATGAAAAAGTTTGAATTTTAAAGTATAACCAATAAAAGTTTCTTGCAGATAGTAGCCTTTAAATTTTAGGTAGAACATAAATAAAATTGAAAAATGGTTCTTTTGCCTCATTTTTATTACTGTTTATGTTAAGTTATTATTTTTAAGAGTTTCTTGTTAAACAAAGAGATTTTTGTGTGTAAGCTTTATGTAAATATTTAATGAAATTTAACCTAGAATTAATAAACTCCTGAGTGGCCCAATACTGCTTGTTTCAGATGTGCGAAAATAAGAGCATTTGTTTAAAGTAGTTCATTCTTGTTTTGTATATCAGCTTTAGTAGTTGTTGACGCTTGTTTCAGACGTATGAATATAAGAGCATTAGTTGGAACTATTGCATTTTCTTTTGTATATTAGTTTTAGTAGTTACTGACAGCCAACTTTTAAAACGTTCCTAAAGTGATAGCAATAAATTACTGAATTGAAACTTATAGCTTTAATCTGACATCTGTTAAGATATAAGAAGAAAAGCTTTTCTGTGTTACTCACAACATTTGAGAACAATATCTGTAAGAAATGCCATTAAATGAATAATTATGATAAACGAAATTATTTGACCTTTTAGAAAACTTATTTGATGTTTTCGCTCATACTCGCTTTATTACCTTCAAATACGATATGTAACAGTGCATATAAAACAGCGGAATTCATAACACACTGACAGGTGACGGAGGGCGGGGACACCTGATGTTTAACAGAGGTAAACAGGCATGTGTCCCACGCCCTCCCCTACCTAGAGGCAACAACTCCCTAGAACCGCAAGAGGCCCGCCCCGGGAGTTTATTGACATATTAAAATGAGTTTATTCACTTGGCCAAACAGGGGCGTCTTAAGTGTACGATGGATACTTGGTAGACATACGATTTGGCATCTTAATGGTGAGTCATACATACAGCTTAAGCATACAGATTTGAAATACATGACAAATAAATATACATAGGGTAAACACAGTTCAACACACACTATACAAAATATAACAGTACACGATACAAAGTACACGCAATACGACATTAAACAGCATAAAACATATATAAACATTATGTTAAACACACACATTACATTAAACATATAAAACTAAAATAAGAAAACGATAAATACATGAGAGCTCGTGAGAATCAAAACGCACTATGTTTAACATGAACGCACCTAGGCACCTTACGTTTAACATGCGGAACAAAACTCAATGTGTTAGTCATACATGGGCAGTAGATATTTACATTGATGTTGATGCTTATTCGTACAGGAAGTTAAATTGTATTACAGTATCCATACATTGTGTTCACAGTTATGCATGCGCAAGGGGGTATAATACACGCACCGTTATGCATGCGCAGTTATACAGTTATATAATATTGAAAGCTACAGTTATACGTGCGGAGTAACATTACATGGTACTTAACAGTCTGCTTAATTATACAGTACATTATTCATAAAGCATGCTGAATACATTACATTACTCATGCAGAATACTTATTCGTACTGAGTGCTATATTATACAGTACATTATTCGCACATTTTGCAAAGGTACACAGGTATGCATGTTCAGTTGTTCAATACGTTCAATATGTGTATAGTAACGCAGTTACACGATATCCAAAAGAGTAGTTATAAAATTATTATAATGAGTTAAAGAAATATCAAAACTGCTAAATGTTTTCGCGACCCGTGCTGCGGGTCTCGCGACCCCCAGGCAGTCGTTCCCCACAGTTTAAGAAACGTTGAACTAAACTAATCTTCTTCTTCCGAAAGTTCTTTCAGTTACCTGAAGTTATATATAAAATACGCAGTAGTTATAAGGATAAAAACACCTGTAAAAAGCTACATATAACAAAGTACATGTTAAAATCCTCTAGTAGAATATATATATATAGATACACACACATACCAATGGAACGGAATTTAACCTGCTTCCGTCTAAGTTTAATTTAATTTTAACTTCATTAAAATTTAGCTTCAATAACTTCAATTAATTGATTGAAGTTAATTTAATTTAATTTGAAAAAGCGTTTCTTCAACTATACGATATGTAAAATATTTCTGCTAAAAACTAAAGGATAGATTCTTCAAATGGCAGAAAAATAAATTCAATTGGCATAGAATCTTCATCTGGCAGTATAAGGTATATCTCCCGCCTTCTTGGCGAGGCTTTGTGGTGTGGGGGTCTGCACGCTGGGCGCGTATTCCAGAGGTCTGTGGTTCGATTCCCGGAGAAGGCGTTGCATGTTTTTCATCTCGCCTGCTTCTAAAAAATACCTAGTGTCTCTCTCTACCGCAGAACTAACGAAATGATACCAACTGTTATTAAATAATAAAGTGACCTATAAAATAATTAATAATATTCAAATATAATAGAGGAAAGTGAATGAGCTAAACACTTTAACTATTGAAAGTGATAACAGTTGAGCTTCACTCATCCGCTTATTATACAGGTGATTTAAACTAAAGTGCAATTTAAAAAGATTCTTAGCGTTCATTGTTTTTAATAGAGTAAGTATTCCCTTTCCCTAGCCGACAAATATTAGCTTTAAAAAAATACAGATACCTCTTAGAAAGCAAATATTAGTTAAAAGTGAGTGATCAAAAATACTTTCATTCCTTATGAAGCAAAATTAATCCTTATAATGCAACAATGCTACGATTATAAATATGTGATCCCATATTGTAGGAAATGAAATCATTTCAATTTATATAGGTATTTTGCATTGATATTTAGTAGTAATAATGAAATTATATTTTGTAATATCTTTTTAAAGGAGTTACGTATGTTTATTTTCTTCGCAATATATTTTGATGTTTTCATATTTTTTATAGATTTTATCAACACTCCATTTTAATTATAAGCAAACTTTTAGTTTTGGAAAATAAACTGGAACGATAGTTTCAGTAGAAATCTACAGAATGCCGTAATGCCCCAGGATAATAATATTTGTTAACGTAAAACTTTTATCATTGGGTTTATTACAGCGCTAAAAGATAAGTTTGAAAAACGCGATATCACAAGTGTATATTAGAATAAAAGAACAAGCAAGAATAATTCTGAATGATACGCTGTAGATCCATAAGAATGATGACAAATTATTCAGTTATGAAATTTGTGTTATGCAGTGAGTTTCAAAAGTTTAGTTTCATAGAAAAAGTATAAAAGAATTTGAACAGTTTTTATACGATCTGATTTGGGATCCTGCTTATATGAATTGCCAGTAACATTTTTCTAGATAGGACTGTTCTGAAGTAACAAATTTAAAGAATGTAGAATATTCTGTTCTAATATTTCTTCTTAAATCTTTATGTAAATAATTCTCTAATGCTATGTGTTGCCAATAAATAAATTCACTTTCAAGTTGTATATAAATAAACTATACTTTTCTAAACGTAACCTTACATAGGTTGGATTCTCCAGTTCCCCAAATGTAAATTATTCTGATATTAATCAGAAGAAAATATTACCTTGCATCCTTAGGTAAATATAATATTTTTTCATATTTCCTATGTTAAGGTTCTTTTGTCTATTGGATACTTGAATATTTTTTTATTACCAAAATCTCAAACATTTTATTTGCTTGATACTTTTTATCAGAAAAATAATACAGAATTTCCACCAAAATTCTATCCTGAATACTACTTCCATAAAATATACATGTAAAGTAAAAATGGAAAACCGAACCTAAATGCGTCATAATAAACAACGCTCTTTTTTGTATTCAGTTTTGTTCCTTTTTCTAAAACTTTTGTTACTAAGGAAAAATATGAATGTTAACGTAAAAATGACACTTTTATTTGAGTATTCAGGAAATTACTTACCTTTGTGTATCTTGGAGCCATACTGACTTTGAAAGCCTTCTTCAGATCAATTTCCGTTGTATTCACACAGCCAGGCTGGAATGAAAACAGATAGATATTTTTCTAAAGCATTTTGATATCCACATTTTATTGAATTTGATAAAAGATACATTATGGTTACCTAATAGCGCAGAACAAGCAATTTTTTTTTAAACATTCATTCAAAAACAAGCGTTGTTTTGTTTAAATCAGAACACTAAACGATTTTTCAACGCACATCAGCTGAAATTTAAAACTATTTCTTGTTCTTACTTCCGGCACTATTTTCATAATTCCTGTTTATGTAAATTTTAAACACTACTTATTTTATTTATAACAGCTTATTAACTCTATGCTTTGATAACAACTGTACTTCTACATACTAGCACTCAAAGACTTGGACAGTTTGAAAATCAAGTAAAATTCAGATTAAAGGGGATGCGGAATCAGTCTAAATTATGTTTAATTTTAAACGTTAAGTTAATGCTAATTTTACCAAAGAAGTTTTTGCATTTTTAGGGTTTCTTGCACTGTTCCTTCTTCTTCAAGAAGCAGAAATGCAGAAATATTCTGCATATAGCAACGGCAGAATATCATAGGCAAGCAAAATATTTTTTCCCTAAAAAAGGAAGATTCTTGTTAGATTCCTTCGAAATACATGGAACTATACTATCAAATTAATATAATTTAAAATTTAATTTCACCTAATTTTAAAACTGAAATGAATATTTTCCTTCCTATATTCACTGAAGAATTTTTTATGAAAAAATGAAATTTAAAATTTTCTTAAATTGTTCGGCAGATTCATAATATTTCTAAAATCTTTAATGTAGATATTAAGGTAGCCGAAATTTTTGAAACAAAGGTATGTAGTAATAGGCGCTAAAAACAATGATTCGTAAGATATGTGAATTAGAATTCTTTTATGTCGTATACAATATTTTGAGCCAATAATTGCATTTTATATATCGTAGAAACGTTTGAATGAAAGGTGAATGGAGCTGACGTTGTAACATTAATACGCTATGATTTTCTATGATGTGAAAGCGGTGATAAATTAGTAAGGATGTCTTTAACGTCTGCAACTTGTATATGAAATGAAGTTCCAACTCGTGCCACTGTATTCAGATACTTTACAAAATCTCACAGAATTGTAAATTTTCTCCTGAATGGAGAACGTACAGAAAGAATTTTGTGTCAGTTATGACCCCACAAAATCCCAAAATGATCCCACAAGATGTGTCGGACATGCAAAATCTTTTAATCAATGGTAATCTGCCTACCAAATGATGTAGAAAGAACGTAACACTGGATTCACAGCTGTATGTAAAATTGTTCTTGAACAATTGCAAAACAAAAAATTAATTTGCCATTGTATTCCCCATAAATAATTAACATAAAGTACTGAATCGTGCGACTCCTAACCAACAGTGATGAAAAGGCAACTACAAATCAGAAAGGTTTGCTGTTTACAGAAGTACAGAACTTGAAAGTCACCAGATTAGAGAGAAAGAAGATAGTTATAGCTGATTGATATACCACTAAAAGTAATTTCAAGAAAATATTATTTTCAAAAACCTTTCAAGAAATGAATATTAAGAGAATCATATTTCGCCAGGATAATGCCTTTTATCATTCAGCAAGAATTATGGTCGAATTTATTCTGACTGATGGCTGTGTGAGAGAAACACAGCAAAATAATAGAACATCCAACCTATTTTTCTAACCTTGCTATGCGTGACTTTTGAAAAATATTTAAGACAAAATTAAGTGGTCGTCGTTTTCATTGTGTAGATGAGACATATGATGCTATAATAACATAATTTTCATCAATTACAAGAAAGGAATAGTTTGAAGCATTAGTCTTTGGGAAATTCGACTAGAGAAGTACATTGCTTTTGGAGAAAACTGCTATGACCACACCCGATTGGTAAGGTTAACGTCCCTCAAAACTTTCATCGTGATCTTCGTATCTTGCGCTACTTCATTACTATTAGCAAAAGTGAAAAGATTGCTTAAAGTTCTGAATCTGCAAAATGAGAGATAAACTTACCACTGGTCGATGCACATCCCAAAAAGCTCTCTCTTGGCTATCCAGAACTTTTCTTTCAAATTTATCTCTCTTTTTATCAACTCTATAAAGGAAAGATAAGAAGGGATCATACAAAATATTTGTCTACAACTAAAACAATAAACAAACAAGTAATTCCTAGTCTCTGCTAATAAAATAAACAGCGATACAAGCAACTAAAAATGAGCAGAGAAAGGAAAAAAATTAAACTTCATATTGAAATTATGGAAAAATAAAATTATGGAAAAATCCATCCCTTTTATAAATGAGAAGTATTATTATGAAGGTGACTTTGATCTGAAAAGACTATATTTAAGATTTCAGGATAAAATAAAAAATCTCATGCTTAATAATGTTCTCGTTTACGGTTTGCTAATTAAAGCTATTAATTATTCTTGAGGTAGTTGTGAAAATTATCCTAGATAAATATATAAAAACCCTAGATAAATATTGTAAAAATATTGTAAAAACAAAAGTATGAATCGAATATATTATTCCGGCTATCTGCCTCTAACAAACAAATATTATTTCAAGAGAACGCAAAATACATCCTTAAAAAATTTTCATGGAGCTGGTTAAAAGTTTTCTAAGGAGAACTCTTCTGAAGCGGAAAGTTTTATACATTATGTCTTGAAAAGGACTTTATAAAGTAAAACCAATTATATTAAAAAAATTCAAAATGGCAATTTTTTAAACAGAATATACTCTGCAGTAGTGGTTGCTTCTTTCTACCGTTTTGTTACATGCAAAATGCTTTTAGATTTTGATCACTAAGTTTTCTTTAATACTAATTATGAAATGTGTTAGGTATTTGTGCGAGATATTTGTGTTCATGCTTAAGGTGTTTGGTATCGAGATATTTGCCAAAGCAAATAACAAAATCCAGTGCAAAAGTTAGCGCAGATAAATAAAACGTTTATTACTGACTACAGTTTCGTTGAAACTCATTTTAACTACATCCAGACATTATTGGCACTCTTAACGCTTTCTGTGAGATTATAGTTCTCCAAGTGAAAACTGAAGTGCTTGGTCAGAAAAACAGAGGTTTGGTTTGAAGCAGGGTTTCCGTTCCATTAGCCAAAATTATGTTATTAATAAATCATTAAAAAATTTTTGCTTTTAAAACAAATCCAAATTAATGTGGAAATTAGCGTCAGTAAACTATTTCCTTCGAAAATATATTCTACAGTAGATCGGCATGATGGGTGCTTTTACTTTCTTTAATTAAAAAAAATATTAGCAGTAAAAATTACTAACAAAAGAAAATAAAAAAAAGTCTTTATATTACTGAATTATATTTGTTTAGTATAAAAATAGACTAAGCATATATTAATTTAATTTAATTTTCAAGATTTCAGGGAAAAAACCCTGCTGCATTTCAGTATGTTTGCTACCGCCTTATTAGATGATCTTGAGAATGGAATCAATAAAGTTGCAGTCAGATACGCAAATTTATGAAACTTTTATTTCAAAGATCTGTTCTAAAAGCTGTACCTACCTAAATAACAATTTACAGCGCTTCATGAATATTACCTGTTCATATTTTTCTTTTCTAGAATGTATAGACAATGTGTTTCAAAGCCTAGATCTCTTTAAACGGGAAAAAGTGCTTATTGACGGAAGTAACAGTTCAGAAGATTAAAGTGAATAAGTATTAAACAATTTTAGTACATTTAAAAATGTGCTGCTTTTGCTTTTTACGCCATCATCTGTTCTCTTTGAATAAACAACGAGAAATATTTTATCGGGCATAAGTGATATAATTTGTTACCTATATATCAATACGAAAAATAAATGAAATATTTTAGGTGAACAGTTTAAGTATATTCTTCTATTACAGCTGTCAAACTTGATATCAAGTGTACGAATATTCAAAATACAGGTTTAATAATCCCATTTGTCTCGAACAGTACTTCTTTTTGTCTCGAACGAATATGACGTAGGTAGAAAATTAAATATAATTAATCAGAGTTTAAATAATAAGCCTAATTTAGTTATACTATGGCTGTCAAGAAACAAATGTTTCGTACGCGGTGTTCAGCTTATTTTTTGCCGAACGATATAGCTTAGAAACTCCGAAAATGTGGACATTCATGGACATTTAGACATTGTTTTCTCTTGGCGTAGGAAACCTCCAGCTCTAGTGATAACTTAAAGGAAGAATACTCAGCATTTTCAAATACTTTTATAGCAATGTTTTGTTTTTGATTGCAGTGATATTACTACTGGTTTTTTATTTCCTTCCCTACGACGCGGCATTGCAAGAATACATATAAAGAAACGTCACAGCGAAGTTTCAGGAAAATATTTAAAATTGTCCTCACAGATTCAGTTTTGAATTTTCAAATTTAATTCTGTTGAAGAATTTAAAAGGGACTTTAGAATGTAAAATATACTTCTAAATATAAATCTCCAAATGTCGCCAAGGTCCCTCTGTAATTGGTCTAAATGTTTACGTAACGGTAACTGTATTCGGTCCTTCGGTCCTTATATGCAACTGTAACATATGCTTTCCAGTAATTTCGAGAAACGGAAGTTATTGGAAATTTCTGAACGACCACGCAAAAATTAAATACGACCGGGAAGAACATCGGTTTTCTGTTTTTCAGGACTGAGCTCACTTCGGAATATTGAGAGATCTCCGTGCGAGTTTCGCTCTTTGGATGCGCTATGCACTGAATTAATGTAGTTTAAAGTGGTAACTACTGATCGTGCTCAGTCTTACAGAGAAAAACTGAGCGAGTACTTTTGTGCAAAATATAGAACCGTAAAGCGGTGTTCTTTTTTGATGGGGGGGGAGATTTTATTAAGCTATCGTCGGTTCTGTGTGCACTCAATCCATTACAAAGGGATTACGAGAAGATCACATCGTTTATTTAATGCAGAAAACAAACCAGTACTAATTAATGCGATAAAGTTCGAAATAATATCATTCTAAAAAAGATAAAATATAAATTAAAAGCTCGAAAAAAGCGTACACAAAAGCTCAAATAATCAATTAAGCTGATTACACGGGAGTAAACGATGTGAAAAAGTATAGCCTTTCTTCAAAATTCCAAAAAGAAGAAAGAAACTAAGCAGTAATTTATTTCGTGTTCGTATTTTTGACGCACAAGCGCTCGCATTTAGAATTACTCAGACGTTTGTTTCATTTTTAAAAACCTTTTCATCATCATTGTTTTATGACAGAACGAGATTATAATAAAAGCATTTACTTGGCTTGCGCTTCCGCTTGCATGAAGATGAATTCCCATTTTCTGGAAAACATTTTTTGGAGCCGGGCCAAATTCTCCGCCTCGTAATCAACCAGTTCTAGTCGAGTCTTATTCTGCATGGTCCGTTTACAAAGATATACGGCTGCAGAAAGAAGAAAGATTATGAATAAGTCATGAATTCAGAACACACTGTATGATTGTGTTGAAATTTATTTGGAAAAATAAGCAGCAGAAGCTTTGAAACACGGAATAAAAGGTCAACGTAGGAAACTACAATTAGGAACAGCAACATTTCGTCGACAATACCCGAAGCGAAAAAATAACTTCTTTAAAAATAGTTAATTTATCTAATTCATGGGTTAATCAGTTCTCCACAAGAGTCTTCAGATCACAAAAGGTAGCCATTTAAGTTTTTGATTAAAAAAAGGTTTTGAAAAGAATAAAAACAGTTACTTTACTGCTGTTTCGGTTACTTAAACAGTTACAGTTTAAACAATTGTTAAACGTGTAAAAAGTTTTCATATTTTGTTTTTAATACATGTCAATTAAATAATACAGTAATTGGAAAACAACAATATAATTAATTTCGCTTTTGATTTCAACAGTTGTAATTCCTTCCTGTTTCATTTTTGGTAAATAATAAACAGCTTTACTTAAAAAGACTTCCATGAAAGCATCTGTTCGTCCAACGCAGATAACTCTCGAATGGCTTGCTGTAATTAACAAGCTAGTTTAATAATGAAAATTAATGAAAATCCTGCTCCACATAGTGCAGGTTTTCTTATACTGTAAGCAACTTTACACGCTACAAAAGCGAGTATCTTGTTTATTATGATTCAAAGTCAAACAAGTTTCTTCAATTTGTTACTTCTAAAGAATTCAAAAACTAAGTATTGAAAAGAATAATTCAGTACAATGATTAACTGAAGCCACGAAAAGTTTGTATTGATAACGTAATAACGCAAGTAATAATCTTTTGAATGACTTCTAATAAACACCTTTTTTCTTAGGCAGACAGTCTTCAAGTATTTTTGCTTAACTGAGTAATTAGCTTTTGTTGCTTTTATAGCGAAATGGAACGAGAGTGCTAGTTGGTGGTAGATAAGACGGAGGAAGACCCTCAGACCCATGCCTCCGAGATGCTCTCCTTCGAAATTAGGACGGAACTGCGCGAAGTCTTATCACTTGTATGATATTCAAGGCTATTGCCAAAGACAGGTGCAATCTTGCACTCCTTGACACGATGAATATCATGGGCTCATTCTGATGTTACTGACAGAGAACTGAGATAAGTCACTTCAACAACACAACAGGAACTCATCTTTTGCAGAAATAATATCATCATCAAGACCACGTACTCCAAATATCTAAATAAAGGGGCTTTCTTAAGTTAGCTGACTATTTGAAGCTTTAGAAAAGTAGAAGGGCCATGCGGCAAAATATCCGTTAACAGTAAATGTTGTCATAATCTTCTGTTTCAATTTTAGTTTGTATATCACGTGCATATACAATTTTTAAAAAAAATAACTTTTTATGCATTCCGTTCTGAAAAGACACAGTTTTATTCTAACTTTCGAGCATTACGTTGTAACTCGAAAAACAAATTTTAGGAACACTCTGGATTCAAGTTTTGTGTAACAATCTAATATAAAATAGAAATTTCAAAATGAAGTTACCATAGTCTGTGTTCTCAGGTTCCCAGCAATTCGAAGGCCAAAAGTAAGGAGTCTGAAAGAAATAAATATTTAAATGAGCCAGCACATTCTTATCAGTGAATGAATTTAGCTATTCTATGCATGCTTGCATAAAATATACGTCAGAATAATTTTGCTCTAAGTCTACATGTAAATATTCAATATGTTTATTTCAGGACAATCTATTTTAAAAACAGCAACTAACATAAAATCTTGCTTAAAATAATAATACTGGGTTATTTCTAATTTCGTGAAGGACCTTAAAAATTCTTAACAAATTAACTATACTGGAGATACCAAATTTTATTACACTGAAATAAACTCATAAAAGATTTTTTTCATATATTTCACAATATTCAACGTATATAGTTTTTCAGGTACGGATATTTATCAGTCATTGAGAAGACAGGCTTGGATGTATTGGAAAGCTGGTTGATGCCACAGTTGAATAAAATTAATGCAATCAAACATCCCCCAACAAGACAGTTACCCAGTTTTTACCTAGGCAGAGAGCAGTGTCAAAACCATTTGATAGCATATCGTAGTCAAAGTATCCCGCAAAATTAAAGACCAGACACAACAGGAGTGGAGTATGTGAATCAAAATTTACTATTAAAATGAACAGTAAGCATATGACGAGCGGATGACGTGTTAGTTTGGTACTCACTCTAGTATCATGATAAAGTCCCGCGCGGCAGTTTCTTACACGGCTTTGCTAAATATGTTCTCTGGCTGTCTCCAGTGTCTGTTAGTTTGAGGATCTTCGTCAACTACACTACTTATACTCTGACTAAGGTATAAGTAGTATTTCACCTCGATGAAATTTGGTATTGTTTGCGCAATTTATTTGTTATAAATTTTAAAAATGAGTCGCAAAGTTATAAAAAAAACCGTATTACGAAGTTGATCTTTTTGCTTTATGTGCGGCTTTGTGAATGAAGAATGCCAATGTTTTACTTTTGGATATTTTTTGCGATCTGAAGCATTTTGAAGAAAGCAATTAATTCAATATTTTATTAAAATTTATTCTAAGAATAGGTTTTGGTTGAAGAGATAAGCCGTATTACTACCTCTTCAAAAATTTATTTATGGTTTTCATCAGCGAATGTTCATAGCGCAAAAGAAATTAATCTTGTGTGTTTTTTTTTCCGGCTTGATGAGTCAATTAATAATGTGCTGCAAAACCAACAGACAAACTGAATTCAAATTTGGTTTAAATATTAAACTAAAATACATACTATATGAGTAAATCTCAAACTGAGCGCATTGCAAGGTATTAAATTTATTGTTCGAAATTATTAATAACATCTGATTCATATTATAAATTCTCAAATGATTCACTTCAACAAGTTTACTTGATTATTATTGTTGCGTGCATACGGATCTGTAATGGACTGAAGGCGCACAGAACCGATAATATAATGATAAAATTAATGTTACCAAAAGAAAAGCTTTACGGTTCTGGAGCTTTCCATAAATGTATTCGTACATCTTTTCTTAGCATGACGGTGCGCAATCTGTAGTTACCACTTCAAACTACTGAGAACTTTGAATACAACGTATTGAAAAGCGCATTTAAGCAGCAAAGTCAACAACGTATCGTTGAATCTCTCGATGTGACAATCTAGAAAGTGTTGGCCATGTTCACCCATAGATCTCAGTACAGTGGAACCTAACGTGAAAATAATTTTTTCACGATGCCTCCCAAGAAGACTATTCCCTCAGACGGTGCCGTAAAGAAAATAAAGGAAACCATGGCCGCTGAAATTAAAAATGAAGTCATAGATAAGCATAAGCTTGGAGTGACGGAATTGGCGAAGACTTACGGTCTTTCGACATCGATAATCTGCATTGTTCTGAATAAAAAGGAAGAAATTAAGACACTTGATGTAGCCAAAGAAGTTACCGTTTCTTCCAAACACCGTCGAAAACTCCCATAAACTGCTGTTGGTGTGGATTAACGAGAAGCAGTTAAAAAGTCGGTGTCGGAAGCTATCATAAAGGTAAGCTCCGGTTGTATTATTTACCAGTGTTATTTACTAGAAAAATTGAATTTTAAGTTGATATTTTTGGGTGTGCAAAACGAATTAACTGGCTTTCCATTATTTCCGGTGGGGAAGTTTGTTTCTAGACACGAGAAATTCGCTATACGAGCTCAATGCTGGAACAAAATAAACTCGTGTCTCGAAGTTCCACTGTACTCCGAACAGTTATAGATAGAGATCAATTACAGTTATTCAGTTACAGTACCAAGCACAGTTACACAGGTATCAGATCCAAATGGTCGACAAGTTTGGCGACTTTTTACGATTTCTCCCTAAACTTGGTGAGAGAAATTAGTCGCCATAACCATCGTAAGTTTGGCGAAACCTCACCAATTTAGCATTTATCTCAGTGTTAAATAGATGCTTCTGTAACCTTATTTTTCCGACAAGCTTCTTTTTTCAAGCATTTTATGTTGCATTTTAAAAAAAGATACTACAGTTTCTCATATAATTTCACTTAAAATTATTGACATGTATACAAAATTCGTAATATTATTAATAATAGCCAATTACTCGGATTGACAATAACATATACATATTCTGAAAGAAAGGAAGCAATATAATGAATGAATTTTTATATATGAATGTATTTTTATATATGAATGTATTTTTATATATGAATGTGTTTTTATATATGAATGTATTTTTATATTGAAAGTTATTGTTTTCAAAAAGAAATAAATAAGGCGTGCGTCCCCTTTTAAAAGAAATTATTTTTCCCAAAATAAAATAAAACAGTCCTTTTTACTTTCATGTACTAAGTAAAGGAAGTACTGGAATCGCGATAAATTACGTGTATCATATTTCAACAGCAGTATTAATTTTGAGCGTTCTAGAATCCATTTCGAAGACAATTTTGCTTGACATCTGTATGAACAGACAAAATAAAGGAATGTTTCTCCCAAAACAAATTAAGCTCAAATTTTGTGTGCGGAATTGATATATCATCTAGATGTGCATCTCCCGTTTTCATTGGAATCGGCAGTACAAAAGGAATATATACATTTAATATATATATATATATATGAAATGTACTTTCTCATACATTATTTGTGTTGTGCAGCTGGGGCAACAGGAATGAGACAAATTTTGGAATATAAAGTGATACGTTTATTTTAGCATCCATCTCACAAGCGTTCTCCCTGTACCTCGGGGAGAAGCCCTATTTATAGATATGTGTACGTCATGGTGCTCATCCAATCAGCGATATTAATTGAAATCACGTGGTGACGCTATCTTCTCATCAGGAGTGTTCTTAAGAACTTTATGTAATATGACAGATTTATGAGTTTGGCGATTTGGCGGGCACCAACAGGTTAATATAATTTATACTAAAGAAAGGATTTCGCCAAAATTTAGGAGAGAATTTAGTTCGAGAATTCTCTCCTAAATTTTGGCGAAAATCTAAATTTTTACTAAATTTTCTCCAAAATTAAGTTAGAGAATCGCCAACACATTAACCAATATGATTAGAATTTAATTTAATCAATTGATTTAAAAATATCATTACATATATATATGTATATGCATCCGTTTGTTACTGCCAACGTTACACGTTTGGCACCTTTCGATGACATATATATATATATATTATATACTAAAGGCCGGGTAAGGGGGTGAATATATATATATATATATTATAACCCCCTTACCCGGCCTTTCCTTTTTAGTTTCAATTTTTTATTCCTTACCCGGCGATCGTTGGTCGTAGTCATATACTTCCAACTACACAAATGTTTTAAATGACAAAAGTATTCATGTTTTGGTGAAGCTAAATTAAAAAAAAATATTAGAAAAATAACGAAATCTAACTTTATAGGGGTCTTCTGGTTCCTATACTTATATACAGGAACATTTTATACTCGTATGAAAAAATAAAATTAAGAGAAGCTTGACTTCCGTACAATAAAATTGACCGGAAGACTTAATTTCAAAATTAGCAATTTTTGGTGTCAGTTTCAAATTGCCTTGAGAGATCGGTTAATTAAGTTAGAATAATTCGAGCAAATTCGTTTAAATAAAGTGAATCAAAAAATGTGTATAATTTAATTGGCCATACAAGAAAGTTATGTGGTGTCCACATCACATTTTTTTCAAAATGATATAAATTAAGGCACGCATTCACTTTCAAAAAGAAATTCGTCATTTTCTGGAAATGTATAAAAACTAGACAATGCAATATTAAGACGCATTGATTCGCATTTCATCATTTGACTTATTACTCACATAAAAGGGAAAAAATATAAATTCATAGAAATAAAAGTACAATGTTTACAAAAGCAAAACAAATTTCTTTACCAGCATGAAATTATTGTTTCTTTAAAATGTTCCACTACCATTTTCAATGTAAAAATTAAAAAATGGTTTTTAGTTTAAATAACATTAATTTCATGAAAACATGCTGAAGAATATATTGCTTGTTCACAGTCGTGGTTGAAAAGTCGTATTTCATAGATATTTGAAATAACATTTTTGGTCTTTTAAGGCAAATTGTACAGGGAAATCAGATATGATGAATGATGCAGTAAGGCATATTTCCAAAACTGAACTCTGATAATTCTTGCTAGATGCATAAAAAAGTATTGATGTCCAGTCGATGAAATACCATCCTTAATTATCGTACTTATCAAAATACTGAAAGGAAAGGAAAATGGATGCGGTCTCATGTGATTAGGAATCATTAGCAAGATTTGTTTGAAAAAGAATGATTATAACTTCAATTTACAAGACAGGTGCCTTCATGATGTTTGATGGTATTTTCCCATCAGTATAATTCCCTTAATTTATTCCTCGTATGTGAAGTATCATTCCTCGTATGTGAAGCGCAAAATACTGATTCAGATTTCATAATTGCTTTCATCAGCCATTTTCGTTCAGTAAAGAATTCTGCTGTTCGAATTCTGAAAATTAATGCTTTGGCTTATAATTCGACAGAAGTTTTGGAAACGTATATGAAAGAGTCAGACGACATGAAACCTTAAAACAATGCACATTTTACACTTATATTGATTCAAGTTTATTTAAACGATCTATAGAGCTCTTGCAAATTTTCTGTTTTGCCAAGAGGAAATTATTCAGCAAGTTAGCTCCATTCTACCAAAGTTTCATGTATTAAATAAGTTATATAAAAAAGTGCAGAAAGTAACATAAAAAAATGTGAAACATTTCAGATTTTAAATTACGTCCAAAGGCGCGTTTTTAAACATTTTGAGTGTTACCTTTATTTATTAAATATCATGTTCTTCGCACTTAAATCATAAAATTCCGTTCAAGAGCAATATCGCAAAATAATTTTAAAATGAGGATATCTTTAGAATTTCCAATATTTCCTATTTCCTTTCTCAGAAATCGGAAACTTTCTCGCGCGCTGGAGATAGAAGTGTTTTTTCTGCCATTGCTCGCTTCGAAATCCCTGAGTTTATTAATCAAACATTCGTTAAAGTTTTACAAAATACGAAATCGATAATAAAACAAAATCCAAATTTGGGCTTCCAGATACCCATATTCGCAGCAGGATTACGTTATTCAAAATTTAATGGCTCTAGGTACCGTTGTTTTATCATAATGCCAGAAACATACATACATTTAGGCAGATTGTTCATCATTTAGTTTCTTTAAATATAATACAGGCCGATAATATTTGGTGGCAACAATTTGAAAAGTGAAACAACGCTTGTAGTGAATCAACGCAAAATGCCAAAACGAAATTAGTAGTCCTTCTGGGCAAATTGTCCAGAATATGTAAATATGTAATTTATAATATACAGCAAATATGTAATTTATAATTAAAGCTGCTTAGTATATTTTAAACGTACTCAATTCATTTTAAAATGTTTTACAACAAATTCATGTTTTACTAAGCAAATATTTAACGCAGCAATTTCTTCTGATGTAAACTTACATAAGGAATTTCTTTCTTCCTCTCTGCGTGCCTTCTCGATATAATTTCTTGATAATGTTAAGCTAAAAATCGTTAAGTTTGGAGTTCGAAGATCTAAATTTCTATATTCCTCGTGCAGGGATTTATATTTATTTTGACTGACAATTTAAAGTTTAAGTTAAAAAAAAAAACTTTCCTATAAGCCTTCAATCCCTTAATTGTCAGTGCCAGAATAGTTAAATGTTGTAGTGCGCGTGAAGGAATGCAAATTTCTACTTTTTAGAAAGTATTTAAAAGCCGAGTGTCGGTAGGAGAAAGAGAGAGTTAGGATATAGCCACAACCTCTGCCATAGCTACGTTTGCTTATTGCTGGTTCAAGTGGCTTAATTGCATTTATTTGTTGCCACTAGCTTTGAAGGGGGTTTAAGTTACGGGATCTCGCTGAGCCCTGTAGTCTAGTTCTATCGTTTGTTAATATCTTCAAATTTTTAGTTTCGTTAATTGATTTTCAGTTACCGCCCAAGCAGGGGCGAAATTTGTTAGCGTCGAGTTGACGCATTGTAAATTTTCAAAGGTTTAATAAAGAGTACTTTAACCCTTTTCTTCTGTAGTTTCTGCTATTCCAGTTTCAGACTGAAGTTCATCAGTTGGGCTCTACACTCGTTCCGAAAACAGCTAAAAGATCTATGCGAATATGATTATGTAACTTTTGTTCTCTAGGTATTTTGTGATCAAATATATATCAAAATTTCCACTATAACATTACTGTATACTGAATAAATACGTGGCTCATAAATGAATATATTGCGCTTTCTTTTCTGATATTATACATGGTAAGTCAACATTTATCTTTTACCCAATTTTAGGTATTAAGGCACAACGGAATCAAATATTAATATTCTCGCCTACTCGACTTATTGTTTGTGTCAACATAAACATGGTAATAGTCAAATTTAAATTATCTTTTCGTTCTAGGTAACTGCGAGGCAGTACAGAAAAATAATTAAAATATGTGTCGTCATATAATTCACTATTATTTGGTGATCCAGCTTCAGGCTATTGAAAATCTGTACATAAAATTAATTAGTTAAATTTATTAAAAGTAATTACCGTTGAGAACTCATGGTTACTGGAATTATCGCATCGATAGGTTACCCTTGACCCTTAAAGGAAAGGTGGAAGCAATGGTTTTATTTCTTTACATTTATTTAATTTAAATTGTTGAAGAAATGGCTGGCAATCTATAACAAGGCAGCCGATGTGTGGTGACAAATTACTATCTACCAGATACGGAGATAAAATCAGACTGGGAGGATTCTTGAAAAATCTGATTCGGACCTGCGATTAACTAGATCAGGAAGATAATGGTTTCACAGCATGAATACTAGGGGGACTATTCCTTTAATTACTTCACAGTCGTTCTACACATCGAAAACCTAAAACCAACTGGAGCCGGATGGGCAAATGTTTAGTCACCAAATCCAAGCTTAGTAATGAAATATTACTCACAGTTTTAGCTCGTGTGCCAGCTTTAGGAAAATAGAAAACTGAAAGAGGTATGATTTTTGCCAGGGATTGAATTCAGAATTTTCAGCTCATCGTATCACTGCTCTGGTCGTTAGAAGTAAACATCGGAATCTTCAGTTCCTTTGCAACAGGGAACGTTAAGACAATTTTCTTACTACACTACATTGTGATTTAAAAAAAGGAACATTTTATTTCTCTTCCTCCACTGAATGAGTATAGAAAAACAAGTATTATTGAAGAAACACTTCGCAGTTTTGTACACAAACGTTTTCACGCATTCTTTCAGGTAATGGAATAATCTAATTCCCCTTGATTAAATTAAGTTAGGAGATTAGAAAATTAGAAACAAAAAGAACTTAATAACTTCCTTAATGCAGATTTAAGTGCTTCTCATAGCGACACAATATCCTATAAAAGCTCACTTTTAAAGCAAAATCATGCTGTTATATAAAGTGCTTTAGTGCTTTTCTAGACACCGAAGCCATTAAACTTTTCAAGAGTAGATACAACGAAATTAAATAAAGGCGCTCTAACTGTACTTTGACTTAATTAAGTATGTTATTTTATTTAACATTAATGAAATTATTTGAAGAAAATCTGGCTTTGGAGTCTTTTACTATTTTTAATCTAGATAATTTGAGGTCTATTTTTAGCACGGGCAGAGAAATTTCTGATTTGTAATATTCAAGAATAAAATATTGTTCTAAATATTCTTTTAGAATTCATCTGGCGTAGGAACCGTTGAGTTTATTTCAAAAGTTCTCTTTCATGAATATCGTAATATTTTGCATGTTATATCTGTAATAAGCCATATTCAAATTTCACAATTCGTAGTTAATCTTTTTTCACTACTTAGCACATGTTAGGTTTAACAATAATGATTTTTTGCTGAGCATATCGAAATAACGTTTTTTCATTTAAAAATTTTATTGATCTATTGTTACAGATTTTAAAAGCTAATTTTTTTCTTTTCTATTGTATGCTTTTTGGATCAAATTTTTCGTTTGTTAGAATTTTTTCATTTATTGGATTGCTTGGTTTTTGTTTTTTGTTCTTGGTCCGCTTTAAAGACAAAGTAATTTTTATTAGATTTTTAAACTTTTTGTCTATTTATGATTTTAATGCCATAATTTTGCAAAGCATTTTTTACTCCAGCCCCTTGATATATCTTTTCGATATGTTCGATTGGTTGTATTTGTATGATTTGTTTTTTGGACTTGCTCTGCTCAAAAATAATTAATTTTAAGCTGTTTCTAAGCTTGCTTATGATTTTGCTGCTATAATTTTGTAACATTTTTGACTATTTACTACACTTTGTCGGGGTCGAACTGACAAAGACTAAAATTACTTTAACCATTAAACTTTAATTTGTTACAGCTGGTTCAGAAACAGGTTGATGTATTTACTTCTTTCGTTGTAGGAAAGCCCTGATGACGACGCAGCGAAGAAACAAATTTCTTTTTCCTTTTCATTTTTTGTTTTAGCATTTTCAGCACCTATCATGCAGTTTGACACTATGTTTCTGTTTTTGCAAGTTTTAGCGAATGGAAATGGGATGAATTTTAAAGTACTTAAAATTATTTAATTTATTTTGCATTATTATCAACATTTGTTGCTATTTTTCAGCACACAACTAACTAGATTTTGAGTGGCTTTTACTTTAAAATTCATTTTAAATTTGTATACACATCGTAAATATTTTTTTTTGCAACCATTATTTTAACTTGCAGTCCAGCTGCTACCAAAATCTTAAAATCTTAAGCAAACATGAGATTACGTAAGGCAATTAATTTCGCTAACTTTCAAACTGTATATTTGTTAACAAGCCAATAATATTCGAATTCAATGATACCTGAAATCTGTAAAAGGTTCCATCTGCTTTGACAGTCAAAACATGATCATCAATTGGGAAAAAGTAGCCATGAGCTGCTATTAAATGGGCCATGTGGAGGGCTTCGGCTGAAATTGAAGAAGTTTCCGTAAATTCAGTGCAATTATAAAATGCTAATTTTTGTTCACAAATCAGATCATCAGATGATATTTCTTCTGTTCAATTGAAAATTGCGAAATATTTTCTAAGATCAGATTTATATACAATTATAGAGTCATTGTGTTTACATCGAAGCTGGAAACATGGAAATTCATCATGCCTTCACCGAGATTCCGGATCTCTAAATTGCTAGCCGGGCGTCCTTCGAATTCTAAAACAATGACCCGCCGTAATGATTTACGACATATTACTTACCACATATTTTCTCTAGTATTCCTGCGTTTTCTAAAACCGCCGGTGAATTCTTCTCTTGGTATCTGTCGTAGGCTCTCCATTGCATCGTTTTGGGTAGCATCCATTGTGCCAAAATATCGACCCTGTATAACCCTCTCAATAAGACGGATTAGCCAGAATTTAAATTGTTTAAAATCTTATAAACAACTTATAGCTCTGTGACACAAAAGAAATCTGTTTTCCGCTAACAGTTCATGACACTTCTAACAGTTCATGACATGACCTTGCTGCTGAAAACATTAGTTTAAAGCATATTCCAGCCGTTTCCGACTTCTTCAGTACTCTCTTCTGCCTTTGTTACCCAAATGAACAAGTACTTTTACACAGTATGCATCACTTACATTGAATCCCATAGCACAATTTTAGTTTAGATGGTACATAACTTACAAAAGAAAACAATCAAAATAACTTTGACTTTTGGCTCATGCTCGTTTTTGCGATCTGTAAAGAACTAACATATGTCATTTTGAAGACCTGGTTAATTTCCAGATCATAGCCGAAATCCCACGCTTCTCCGTTAAAATGTGTTTTGCACAAGTGCCGCGTTACCCCAAAGGAATAAAAGATACTTTAATTTCGTTTATACTACAACAGGAACTATACTGTTCCGGAAAATATAACTTTCCAATATAATATAGCTAGCGTGTATTATACGCTAGCGTGTACAGTATATTATATTTCCAATATAATATACTATATGCCAATGTAATATATAATATAATATACTTATATTCTTAGCCTCTATTATTCTCATACATTATGTAGATAATTTTCAAAATATGTAATGATCTTAAGTATTTACTTACGTATTTATGTTTCATTTACTTACATATTTATTTAGGTATTATGCATTTATATATTTAGTTATTTTTAATTTGTATTATATAATTCTCGAAATTCTAATACTATGTTAACTTCATATATAACAACATTGAATTTATCTAATTATAAATTTTTAATTTTTATTTATTTTTTCTATTTATGTATTTATATATTTATTTCTTGATATTTAATTTTTATTGCGCAATTATCAAAATTCTAAAACTTTATTGAATTTTATATATAACAACACAGTTAGCAGATGATTCTATCAGTTGAGCATAAAAGCTGAATGGCTTGAAGGCGGTGCAGCTGCTCATCTGACGGTAAATAAATAATATACGTTAGCATCTTCTGGCAGTCAAATCCAAGTCTTGCAAGTTTCATACATATATACAAATTATTTTAACAAAATAATGCTTACGGCATTTAGAAATATAAATTTAGACTTTAACTTAAATTACTAACTGCCTTAACATGGCCATTATACACTGCTAGCTATTACAATAACTATAACTAGAAGGAAAGCAAATAGCAGGATTCTTTATTGTGCATATATAGCATAATGAGAGAAAGACATGACTAAATTTGCAAATGGTTTAGAGCATACCTAGTCTGAAGGAGTAAATAGAATACAGTGTGCAGGTATACACAAAATATACAGGTTTAGCATATCCACAGAATTCAGTATACAAAGTTACCACTTCTGACAGCAAGAACGACTATAGTCTGGCTGGGAATCTAGCTTAGATGACACATACGGGTTCTTCCTTCCACGCGGTCTCGAGTCTATGCCAGAATTCATCAATCCTAGTGGTTGGCGAGTGGTGTAGTGCCATGATAAGCCATGACAGACGTTTGGAATGTGCAAGAGATAAGGAGAATATGCTGGTCAAAATAACAGTCGATCAACCTCTGTATGGAGATGATCAGGAGAGCACGGACATTATGCGGACGTGTAGTATCTTCTTGAAATTTGCCGTTGATTAGGCCTCGAATACAGGACACAGGCACGAGCTTTAACACGTCAGAAATGTAACGGTGGCTGTACACATCATCGGCTACGCGAACAAGAGGTAACCAGAATGTGTACCCCTCTGGCACTTCCATACCAACAAGCCAGGTTCTGAAGTCGTATATGACAAATACAAGCTGAAAACTGTTTTTCTGCTCGGTACATCCACGCATGGATATGTCGATCATAATGGTATACGAAAAACCGGAACTCGTCTGACGCTTATGTTGTGCCAGTTCTGTGTCCAGTGTCGCACCACTGTAGGCGCGTCTGTCTCTGTTATAGTATCAAGAAAATCGGCCAGCATGGTCACCATGCTGTAAATCCTCGTTGCTACAGATGTCGCCCAACTGTCAGTTTGGATACTTTTCATCCTGGGCACAAGCCAGTCTCCTTACTCAAGGTACATGATGGGGCTGTACGATCTCGCAACTCTTATAGGAGAACATGTCTGTCCTTTCAGGCGTTAGTGGCCTGAGACCGCGGAGATCTTGCGTAGCGTTCAGTATGGCCCTCCTAGATCCATCGATTCCTTATTCGCCTGAAGTCATGGGATCCTAAACAACACGAGTAGCAGCGTCACGGAACGATAAACCACAATCCCGATAGGCCGTAGTTTGATAGGAACGACCATTGCAAAAACAACAAACATTCAAATGCGATTTACAAATAAGAAACCATTTTTCAGTTTTCCCATTTACACATATTGTAGATAGCGTTACACATATTTCTTTTGTCTCTATGCTCTGGAATTCTAATCATTTTCATATCCCAGCATGTATTACCTTTTATGCAAATCTTACGTTTGTTATATGCCGCCTGCATGGCGTAGCAGTTTTAGCGGTCAAAAGTGTTTATTTACTATGAATTAAAATAAAGAATTTTGCTACTTACTTTGGTCTTCAATTTCCAAATGTCTCATCATCCATGCCACCAAATCAGAACCTATAATGAAAAAGAAATTAAATTGAAATTTCACTAACAAATAGCTTATTAGAAATTTTTGCTGAGCAAGCTTTAACTGATACTAAGTAAAGATAAGCATTTCTAAGTCCATTAACCAACAACGTGATTGGAAAATAAGCAGTTCAAATCGAAATCTGAAAATTCATATCAGTATATCCAGTACTATTTGAGTCTTTAGAATAAGTTAATTGAGAGACTTACTTAACGTCTGAAGCATATTTGGTGGTCATAAATAATTCACAAAATATCAGTTTTCCGTTAGCTTTATAGGTAAGAATGTATTAATATGTTTTTCAATCAGTTAAAATCCTCTTATGGTGAATACTTCTATTTTACATGCTTCAGCTGTTTCCACAATAAAATATCCTTACTCGCATATATATTCCACGAAAAATTTTTTAAAAATCACGTATATTAAAACATAATATTTAGCAATTACAGTGATCGTGTTCAGTTTTATGTTTTTTATATGTTGTTGATTAATCATATAATAGTATTTTATTTCAAAAGATCGTAATTCATATGCTGCACAATTTATTAAAACACTGACTGCCATGTCATTTTTACCATGTTACAATCGTGTAACCATAGTAAGAGTGACATTTCTGAATTATGCAACCAAGTCTGAAATTATGAATTATTTGTAACAGGGTGCTCTGAAATTTAAAAAAATATTTTATTAAAATTATAATTCACATGGGCACCTGAGAAAAATGTTAAAAATCGAACTCTATCCTTAACTTTGGGCAATATATTATTCGTCACTGATTTTCCTGAAGATGCAAGGCTTTTTATGATCATAGTTTGGATATTCAATCCTATCGATTACACATTGATCCTGATGATTACTTATTTATATCCTAATCTATTGCTTGGATTCCATTCTTCATATCCTGCGTATTCTTTAACCTTTTTTTTCACAAAGTCCTTTTTCCTTTTTCTTATACATGCTCCGTTAAAACTTTGAGATATTTCTTCTCTGTGAGCACTGCAATTTTCGATAGTTAACTAACAAAAGAAATAAATGAATAGCTTTAAAGAATACAACAGTAAGAAACTCAATTTCAAAACACAGTACACGCATTGATTTTTCAATACTTTACAATACGTCAAAGACATAGTTTGTAAAAGTAAAGATAAATGAGCATTATCTTTAAAAAATAAACACAAGAGACATCCGTCGAATGTCAGCTAAAACTGGTTTTCGAAAAATTTGTTCCATTATGCTGTCATTCCAGCAATTTATTTCTTAAAAATGGTAGCTTTACTGAGATTTCTAGGATTCAGTGCGGTGGTTGATGTGTTAAATGCAGCACAGATTGTTATTAATATATTAGTAAAATATGTAATTTTTACACAGGAACTTGGAAAATAAATGTCAAAACTAGCTAAAGAAAACGCTTCTTTAAAGTTTTTATTTGAAAAGAAAATGCTATGATTTCTCAAATGAAGTTTATTAGAATTACAATGAAGGTATCGCAAAAGCTAAACTGAAAAAAGTGAATTTCATAAAAATTACATAAGGTACAAATTTTAAAGACTTAGCAAGGTAAAGAAAAATAATTTGTGGATATAATTTTCTTCAATTTTAGAGACATATTTATTGTTCAAAATAACTCAACATTTATGATTTTAAGATAGATAAAAAGCATCTTTGCATATTCTGTAAATGATCAACATTTTCTCTGACATAAGTTATTGTCAGATATTTGGGTAATACTGATAAAAGTGTGTTACAGAAGCAAAATTGGAATTTTGCAATAATGCAGCAGTGATTTTCTCCTTTCTGCAGTGATTTACATTCACATGTTTACATGTTTCGAAATCTTGCCATTGCAAGATGTATCATCTTACCGCTCATAATGTGAAATTCAACAGCAAACCTTTGAAACCAAATCTAAATGCAAGAGAAGAAGCTACAATGCGCGAAATCATTCTAACCCGGACATTATCATTTCAAAGGCGACAATGGTGACCAGATAATCGTTATAGACAAGAACACTTATATCGATGGTGTCACTAAACGCTTAAACGAAGGACCCTATAATCGGATCCCTAAAGACTATTCACCTTCGGACCTCTCAAAAATAAAAACTGAGATCAAATCTTCACAAATCCTTTCGACCAAATTAAAACAGTATCTTATCCCATATGTTGTGAATTGTACCAGATTATATGCTCTTCCCAAAATTTAGAAAAGTGATATTCCTTTCCGTCATATTGTGTTAAATTTAGTCACTGCCCCGTACCCGTTAGCTAAATATTTAGTTTCTAGATTTTAAGCTCTGTTAGATAGTAACATTTACACCATAAAAATTCAATAGAGTTTGTAAAAAAAGTTAAAAGCATTTCTCCTAGCAATTTATTTACTCATAGTTTCTTCCGATGTAAAATCATGATTCACCAATGTTCCCGTGGAGGATGCATTAAGGTGCCTAGAAACCAGACTCCATGAATTTCATTTCTCCTGCGTCGAAATTAATGAACTAATTTCCCTCACTCAACTTTGTTTGAAACAAACTCAGTTTGTTTTCCAAAATAAGTTTTACAAGTAAACTGATGGATTAGCCATGGGAAGTCCCCTCAGTCCCATCCTGGCTACATGCATTATTATGAATTAAAATTATTCGGGACTTTAAACTTCCCGGTATGGTTCCGCTACATAGACGGTACTTTTACCCTTTTTGACGGTAATAAAGATGATTTAAATAAAGTTCTTTCAACAATGAATTCCATTTATCTTGCTATTCAGTTCACTTTTGAACTCATAACATGCAAATCTCTTCCGTTCCTCTATATTTTGGTCACACGTAACACATTCAACTTCACTACTTCGGTTTACCATAAACCTTCCTCGTTTTGCCTTCTACCACACTTCAAATCATGTCATCTGACTAAACAAAAGTTAGCATGTTTTCTGTGCACTGAATCAAATTATCAAAGTTTGCTCCTCAAAATTGGGTCTTGATTTAGAACTAAATTATTTAAAAGTAGTAGCTACTGACAGGGGCTTTTCACCCAACATTATTAATCAAGCAGTTAAAAATTTCTTATCTCAACACACCAAAAGGCACACTCTTGTTTCAGGAGATTATTCGAATTCTGTTGTCATCCCTTTCTTTCCATCAATTTTACGATCCTTTTAGTCAGTAAAATCCTCTATATATGTTAGAATCTTGTATATATGATAAAATCAGCAAGTCTTGTCTTCAAATAAAAGTCTATTCTGTCAGCTTATAAGGCCTAGTTAAAACAGCGTGAAATAAAACTAATATAAAATGCAAAATGTCTAGATCGTAGTGCCGTAATAGAATCCATTTAAACTTGAAATGCTTATGCATCTAAGTAGTTTTTATTTAGTAAACTCAGTCTTGTTGTGTAAGACACATCAGTGTAGAGATAGCGCTTGATAGTCTTCTTTATAATTCCGTCTATACTTAAAACTTACTTCTTTGCAATTTACGCTACGCAAACTCTTTTTGAAACAAGCCTTCTTCTCATTTTGTATCGAGCACACTCCATATACGATTTCGTTTTCACAGGACTTTTTTTGCATGGGAAAATCAGTTAGTAAAGCGCTTGGTATTTATATATAATTTTGCTATGTGTGATTTCCAACTAGCTGGATGTGTTCGTTTTCAAAAATCTTTCGGGCACTCTTGTGGAATTTTGATTACTCGATGTGATACCTCACGGTTGCCAACCCTTATTCTAAATAACGAGCGTACACACGCACCATCACAACAGCAATCAATTTTCAATTTATCTATTGACTCATCATTAAAGATGATATTCACTAACGTTATAGACTATTAGTTTTAGGTTTTATAAAACGTCTCCTTTTTGGTCTCACCAGAGGTGTTAATTTTTTCCTCTTGCAAATTTTCCTTTCTCCAGTACTCAAACTTCTTTGTTCCCTAGCCAGGCAACAAATTTCTTTTTCCTACAAGTTAAGAAATTCCTAATTTTTTGACTTAATTTTTATTTCTTCATATACATAAATTTCTTCGCTCACGGGCTTTAAAATAACCTCGTTATTTTATCTTATTATCTCTTTATCCCACGCTTTTTATTTCCTCATTCTTATTTACGTCTACAGCAGTTTTGTTTCGATAGTCCATCATATTTTTCATTCCGTTAATTTCCCTAATTAAATGAATGCTCCAGTTTTATCTTCATTAATCATTTCTAATTCCATAATACTTAAACTCATCTTACTTACCCAATCCATAATTTGATTCAGTCCTTCGTATTCGGACGTGAGTGTAAAAGCAACCTCTACAATGAATGGTTGTTATAACGAGCGCTGATTGCAAGGATTACTCTAAGCATATGTCGCGTAGATAGCCGCCCAGTGCGCCGGGTTCTAGAAGGCCAGCTAAGGCATTCTCGTCCTAAGGCGGAGTTAATTTTGTTCAATTTAATTTTGTTTTTACTTAATGCTGTGTTATCAGCTTTTATTGGCGCAATAAAACGTGAATAATAAGACTCGATAAAATAGAGTGAGTACTTTTAATCCTCAAGATAAATGAAACATTATCACAATGAGTACAGCTACAAATATTTGAAACCCAAAAGAACAGTTTTACAATATTAGTACAGCCTTAATCACACGTACCGAAGGTTCAATTTAAATATTTCTGTTTACAATTTTTAATTGTATCTGTCTTTTAAAGAAACAATTATCCTAAATAAGCTTAAAACTCTTTACTAACTTATTCATTTTCTTTATACATTTTCCGAAGTAGCAAAATAACTTATTAAGATCAAAATAAACATACGAATGCAATTTATCCTAATCTGGGAACTGAATTCCCGAATAAATGTTCACTTTTTTAAAATGAATAAATATTCACCGAGCCAATTATAACCGCATAAAAACGAGAGTAGCCGCCGCACAGCTTTCTCTAACAAAAGCCTGAGAAAAACCTCAAAGTAAGTTTCTTTTCCTGGGAACAAAAATCGAAGTACATCACACC